TAAACATCCTCTTGTAAAATCAATATTTTAAATTTTTTTCCCCAGTGTACCTTTATCATGACTGATTGATTTTAATTTAAATCAATATTCAATTCATTTAAACTTAAAAATCGAATTATCAATCGAAATTAATAATTGACCCTGAAATAAGTATAATATGGGAATTTAGTTTTCTATAGCAATACATGATTAGACAAATCCTGGTTACTTGCACACATAAGGAGTGATATTAGAAGTTAAATTTCATTTTTTATCATCCAAAAGTTTCACTAAAACGAAACCTTTCATACTGCTCAATTTATAAGCTGCATCCCCGTGTAACTTATTACGAAACAGAACTACTAAACAGCCTATAAAATGAGAAAATAAAAAAAAATAAAAAAAATATAAACGAAATAAACAAAAGAAAAAGGAGAAAAAAATACGAAAAGTAACAATGCCACCAACCACTTATAACAAACCATAACAGGGTATCCTAGATCAAAAGCGGTTAATCCTAGGCTAAATAAAAATAAGCACTTTAGTTCTTTTAGACTTAAGAAATCTAAAACTCTTAAAAAGACAAATAACGAAGGTCAGATGTGATGGCACATCTGATTGCATAAATATAATAATTTTCTAATCGTTTCGACTACTACACCTATATATAATCCGGTCATTTAACATGAACACTCTCAATTTTTAATGTGAATACAGGTAAAATTAATAATTGTAAAATTCTAAATAAAATTTTTAATGTCTCTGACACAGCTGGTTATTATGATGATAATACCCTAAGACTTATATAGGTTCTTTAGAAAAATAACGTTTCTACCATTTCACAGAAAGGTTTTAGCCATTAAATATTTTTTAAAAAAATAACTTCATGTCTAACTCCCATTGCATATAATCTATATGTGACTAATTCATTATTTAAATCTTTTTGGAAATATTATTTTATACTTCATAATTAAAATTACCATAGTCACTGACCCATTACTTAGTGTTGTTAAAGTAACTAGTTACAAATTTTGATAAAAAATAACTGTAACTAGTAATATTTTTTGAAATGACTGCCAAATGTATCAAGGAAGGGGTGGGTCAGCATTTAGAATGATATTTTTCAGATAGGTATATTAAAAAGCAAATATAATAGATTCTGAATCTAGGTCCGAATAGTTCTTTATATGTGGATCACAATTTGGTTCCGGTATTTAAAATCTCGAAACTGGATCGAAGTGCGCAGGCAAATCACAAATACTTTAATTTAACATCTTTGAATTATTTAGCTCTCACTGAAATCCAAATAACTAATAAAAAGTTTAATATATATAACTATTATCAACAATTTTATTGCCTTTATTCCAAAAATTTTTACGTTATTCCTTTTCTCAATCAATATTTATATTTTTTAAATAAATGGATATAATATTTTTGCGCGAATTTTAATATAATATTTTTTTTATAATAGTTCAGAGAAAGAATTAGTCGTAAAAATAAAATTCTTGGTGTAACCAGCCTTGTTTTGGATCTGTTTTCATATAGTCCTTTAAAAAGTTTGAAACGTTCCTACCGTAAGAGGTTTAGAGTGGAGCAAACGATATGAATTAGTAACCGTATATTTGCTTATCTTCGAGTGCGGAATGTTGTGGTTTGCTGGTTAATTTTGATCAATGTAACTAAATCAGACTCTGGCCCTATGATCAAGAAATTTATATATATTATTAAATGCAAATAAATATTAATTTCATTTAAATTTCTTAAAATTATAATTTGGAACACGCAAAATAAAAAAAATAATTACATTAAAAAATGATTAGTAACTTGCAATATCATTAGTTACTTTAGTGTATTCTAATCAGAGACCTTCATGGGCCGGGTATAGACTGGGTCAGGCTTGGGTGTTTTGGAAATTTTTTACTTCTGCCGGGCGGGCCTAAATTTTTATTTTTCAAATTTAGAATATTTTAAGGATATTTATTTGGACAAATATAACTGATCATTTATTCCATAGACACCTTAGGGAGAGTTTTAATTTTGTTTTTTCTTTAAAATCGGAAATTGTTATATATACATATACTTACATAACTGATTTAAAGTGTAAGACTATTATAAGTAATTCCCACACTTATTTATATAAAATACCATGATATTTTTATTTAAAAATCACTTTTTTTCATTCTTATAAAACTGGAACATACTGTTACTTCTTTAGTGTGACAAATCCAATATTAATTAGAAATTTAATATATGGCTATAAAGATGATATTTAAAATGATTCGTGGTAATGATCTTTATAATAATTGTAATAAGGATTTCATATCATTTATAAATTCAGTTGGGTTTCTATGTATTTCCTTGGTATACTACACTAATGAGATTGAAGGCTACGAAAGCTGTTGATATGTAACATAACACTCTTTTCTCTGAACTAATTGATGGGTTTTCTTTTTTCCACAGTCTCAAAGGTGTTCATGGTGTTCCTGAAGAACAGAATCCTCGCTTCTACCAAAAACCTCCTGTCAAGTAATACTTGCGCCTTCAGGCCAAACAAGAACATTAACGAACCCATTCTAGCTCTCAAAATCTACCTCCAAAAATGCTTCAGATACAAACCTCCCTTCATATTTACTTTCATTGACTATAGCAAAGCCTTTGACACCGTTAAACACGATGCCCTTTGGGAGGCTCTAGTAGAATGTTATGTTGATCAAAACATAATCAAAATCTTGAAATATTATTACAACAAGTCTTGGGCCAGGTTACAGCTAGGCCGTACTTTATCTCCTTACTTCAGGATCAGAAGAGGCATGAAACAAAAGTGCGTTCTATCACCCATTCTTTTCAACATAATCATACACAAAATCATAAAATAAACCACAAGCACCATGAACCTAATCGATCTTTCATCAAACAATTACAATATCAATCATCTAAGAATCATCTCGTACGTAGATGACCTGGTTTTAATTACCAAGTCAAGAGATGAGACATTAGATTTACTAACAAGTGCCTGCTTCCACAGCAACAAAGTCGGCCTAACCATCAACTTCAATAAAACTTTTATCATGCCATCCCCAGAGGCTTCAATAGATAACTTAACATTTGAGGGGAATGAAATCAAAATAGTCAATAATTTCAAATATCTTGGTGTGCTTACTGATAATAAAAGAAACATCAGTGGCGAAATCGAAGCCCGACTAAAAAATGCCAAAATAACTTTCATGAAATATCATAAACTATGGACAGCCAGAGTCTCAGTCAAAACTAGACTCCTAATATTTAAGCCGCTCCAGTCCTCCTCTACGGCAGCGACACTTGGGAAATATATAAACACCAGACAAAGAAAATACAGGTTTTCCTAAACCGCTGTCTGCGCCAGCTCAAAGGTATTTTCTATCCAAAATTCATTTCAAATGCCAGCCTATGGCGAATCTCAAAAAACGTCCCGATCGAGACTACTCTCAAAAAAAGATACATCCAACTCTTTGGTCATACCATCAGAAACTCAGACAAAACATAGTTCATGAGGCTATAATCTGGCTCCAGTCTCATGAAGGTAAAATCTACGCCAAATACAAGTCATATTGGCTGTACAGAATGATAAAAGATATCATAAGCCTAAATCTGACGATGGAACAATTCATACGTCTAAACATTAATAAAGGCTCAATAAAAAAGCTTCTAAAAATCAAATCCAGCTACCTAAACCCTCCAAATCTCTCAGCCCCCCCCTAGCATAAGACAACCTTCCTCTCGCCATGGTAAACATACATTTATTCATTTATTTATAAATCTCCTCATGTACCTAACCTTGATATAACTATCCAAAATATACTTAACTTATACTATCACCCCTTTAAGCTAATATTCTTAAGTAGTAAGGCAGGTTTATTAACAAAATATATCATATTTATATTAAATAAACATCAATATAGACCATCAACTTAAAATTAACCAATACCCCTCCCTATATTATACATTTTACTTAATCTGATACGGCTTTTCTCTCTTTTCTTATCTCCCGTAGGCGTTTAAGCAAGTGGTTTCGCCTTTTGCGCGCACAGGTAACTGCAGCCTGCCCAAAAATTGTGAATGGGCTCATCTCATAGGCTACCCCCTAATTTCTTAACCCATATATTATACATTTTACTTAATCTGATACGGCTTTTCTCTCTTTTCTTATCTCCTGTAGGCGTTTAAGCAAGTGGTTTCGCCTTTTGCGCGCACAGGTAACTGCAGCCTGCCCAAAAATTGTGAATGGGCTCATCTCATAGGCTACCCCTAATTTCTTAACCCAATCAGATGGGACGAGATTGTCCAAGCGTAGCTCTGCTGTTTCATATAGCGATAAAGGGCGATTGCGCTTATTATGACGTATGACGTAAAATAAAAATTTTAAAATATTAAACTAACGATATGAATTATTATGTTTTTTATAGTTTAAAAATTATTTTAGTCATATATTTGATAATCCATTATATAAAATTGGTCACAAAAATATAAGGTAAAATACCATTTACAGACATAACTGGCAGTTAGAATAGATATTACAGTTAATATTTTTAATAAACTTCACTGATCAATGATTTTGATAATAAATATAAGTAAAAATTTGCTTTCAATTCTTTAACGCCATCTTATTTATTTATGGGATAAATAATATTATTAAAAATTAAATATCTATTATTTCATAGATATCTTTTTTTTTCTTCTCCTTTTACATGTTCCTAGTAAAAAGTTATTTTTTTCTTCTGTAAACAATTTTGGACTTAAATTTTTAATACAAGTATATTTTTGTTATTATTACAAACTATTATTTCAAGACATAATATACCAATTAGAGGTGGTGCGACAATAATATAAAATCTAAATTGCTTTCAACATATCATTCAGTTGTTTTTTTTCTAGATACTAAATGTATCATTTCTAATATGGTATCCTTGCCATGTAAATAACTCCTGGCTTCAATATATTTGCATGATTATTTCTTCTAAAGATTTTTAGTGTTTTCGTTTTATCAATTTATCTAACATCATAAATTCTGATATGAGGTTACATCCTAAAATCAGCATCTGTTACTTGTTGTGCATGTTCTTGAATATTAACGTCTTCGGTAGCTATATAAAATATTTGAATAATTTTACAAAATAAAAACATGGCTTTATACTGGCTATAAAAATATAATTAATGTAAAAAAAAATTAGATGGCGATAATTGAAACGTAAAGTAGGAATTCTAAAGAAATATTTTTTTTAACAAATATAAGAAAAAATTTTAAATATTTTCTCATCACATAAAATAATTTGTCTTTAAGATTTATATTATAATTATAGGAAATACTTCTAATAAAAATATATACCAGGGTCTCTAGAGTCACTATTCAGCACGTAGATAATTTCTCCCCCACTATCTTTAGATTAGCCAAATTAGTTTTTTAAAAAAAAGTATTATATAAACGTGGGATATCATGAAGTCGTGCATCAACACCTATATGCTCATTCCGGCTAAGATTATCATCAAAAGCATTTGCGAAACAATATATATTTTCGAAATGCATTTTAATAAATAAATTATAAACCAATAATTAGTGTATCTATATTATTAAAAACCAGGTTTTCATTAAAACTCAGATCATCATCCAAATCAGCTGTAAAATATAATATTTTTTATTAAAAGTAACTAAAAAAAAATATGTACAAGAATATTTCTAGCAGCCTAGGTCTTTTGAGAAAATTATCGTTATCCCAAGTCAGCTGCAAATAATATTCTAACCTAATGTATAAAAAATATGCACCTGGATTGGATCTTCTGGTGGATTAGACTTTAGCACCGAATTCCCTAATGTTTTCCGAATGTATATTATTAAATAAAAATAATTATCATGATCTTCTGAATCTATATAATCTACCAGATTTTGGCAGAAGCTCATATCATCATCCAAATAAGTTATAAAATATGAATCATTTAGCAATTTAAAAGGATCCAAGGCATAAAATGATAACTATCCCCAATATATTAAACTTTATAAAAACCCCATAAATTTTTGAAAACAATTAGTATCTCAAGTTAAAAGTATCATTTAAAAATTATGTGAAATTTAATTTTAAAAAATATACCATATTATAAAACGATAAATTATTATTTTGCATATTTTAAATATATGTTTTGCCTTTTAATTCCCACCCATTGTCTGTGTAGAGTATTTTGGAGGCTCCATATATATTGAATATAGAAATCAATTTTTATTTTAAATGAACTTCAAAATCACAAACTTTGTGAAATGATCTTGGTATACTAAAATATATATTTTCACGATCAGTGATTGCATATGGATCAGGATATTCTTAAAATATAGATAAATTAATCTTGTCTTAGGTCCCATATTTTTATGTATGGTCAGGTCTGTCTTTGACCTTCGATATATAATTTAAATCTAATTTGACATCCAGCATTTTTACCAGTCGAAATATGAAATATAAAATAATTTTTCCATAAATGATTTAAATCATGAATTAGTCACAACATATAGATTATATGCAATGGGAGTTAGACATGTAGTTATTTTTTTTAAAAAAAATTTAATGGCTAAAACCTTTCTGTGAAATGGTAGAAACGTTATTTTCAAAAGAACTTAAATAAGAAACTTAGGCTATTATCGTCATAATAACCAGCTGTGTCAGAGACAATAAAAATTTTATTTAGAATTTTACAATTATTAATTTTCCCTATATTCACATTAAAAATTGAGAGTGTTTATGTTGAATGACCGGATTATATATAGGTGTAGTAGTCGAAACGATTAGAAAATTATTATATTTATACCATCACATCTCACCTTCGTTGTTTGTTTTTTTAAGAGTTTTAGATTTCTTAAGGCTAAAGGAACTAAAGTGCTAAGAACTTTTTATTTAGCCCAGGATTAACAGCTTTTGATCCAGGACACCCTGTTTTGGTTTGTTATAAGTGGTTGGTGGCATTGTTACTTTTCGTATTTTTTTCTCCTTTTTCTTTTGTTTATTTCGTTTCTATTCTTTTTAGTTTTTTTTATTTTTTCACTTTTTAGGCTGTTTAGTAGTTCTGTTTCGTAATAAGTTACACGGGGATGCAGCTTATAAATTGAGCAGTATGAAAGGTTTCGTTTTAGTGAAACTTTTGGATGATAAAAAATGAAATTTAACTTCTAATATCACTCCTTGTGTGTGTAAGTAACCAGGATTTGTCTAATCATTTATTGATATAGAAAACTAAATTCCCATATTATACTTATTTCAAAGTTGGGTCAGTTATTAATTTCGATTGATAATTCGATTTTTAAGTTTAAATGATAAAATCAATCAGTCATGAATTTTCTGGAGAAGGGTACACTGGGGAAAAAAATTATAAATATTAATTTTCCTATAGGAGGTTAAGATCTCGAAATTATATTTCTACTTTTGGATCTTGATTTGTTATAAAAACTTTCAAATTATTTGGTAAATAGATCAACCTCTTTTATTTGAAAAGTACGATAAATGAATTAGAATTATTATACCATAAATTAATCATAATATTGTTATAACAAATATTCAATTGGTTTAGTAAGGATATTAAGAAACATAACTTCCAAATCCAGGATAGTCACCATAGAAAACTATATCCCGGGTCACCATAACCCCCATAGACTGGAAAGCCTCCATAACCAGGATGAGCACTCACTTTAGCGTTTTACTACCAAAGTAAATTTTCAGAAAAGATATAATTTATAAAAATAATTGGTGAAGATATAAAATCCCAAAATTTATTGTCACCTAAATTATTTCACTGAATATTACAGATTTTTATTTTATTAAAGATTCGCCAATTTCTATTTTAAAATACGTAATGGCCTTTAAATAAATTAATATGATTTAAATTTTTCCTATTCTTTGCATATCAATTTTTTCGGCTATTAACTCATGCTTATTGATTGGAGATAAATATAATTTTTAAAATATCGGTCCAGTAAACGCTAGACTTCCAATCAGTACTACCCTATAACTAACGATGCAGATAAAAAAATACCTTCCTCAATATTGTAGAATTCTAATTTTAATAATACTACTCAATTTCTGCGGCATACAACTTTTCACTTTATATTTGATATTAACTATTGATATCCAATTATTTTATTTAAATCCTTTGTTATCTTTAAAAAATATTAGCAAAAAATTTTTAAATAGAGTCATCTAAAAATAGAATAGCTATTTATCCTTAATTAGGATATTCGACATAACCCTCCATACACACTACCATATGGAAAACCACCATTTTTTATTCTTCTTTCTTTCTTTCTTTCTTTCTTTCTTTCTTTCTTTCTTTCTTTCTTTCTTTCTTTCTTTCTTTCCTTTTCAGAACTTTGGATTTTAAATATTATGATTTGTTATAAATCTTATATATCACAACATACAATTGAGAAATTTTTAAAAACCTCCAAATTAAATACTAAATATTATGCATGAATCTACTCTTTTTTTTATTAAAAAAGTATGATAAATTTAATGATTATTATACGATAAATTAATCACAAAAATATTATAATTATATTATATATAAGAATGAACAAATCTTCAAACAGCGGGATCCCAAAATCTGGCACAATTAATTTTCATATTTTGAGGACTCACTCTAGCGTTTAGCAACACCGCGGCCTTTAAAACCTATTAAATAAATGAATGATGTAAATTTATCAATCTCTTATTAATTAAATTTAATTTGGCTAATTATTTATGTTTAAAAAAAAGTAAAACTTACCACCACAAGGAGTAGGAGTATCGAAGTGAAATATTTCATTCTTATCGCGAGTGTGTCTAAAATTAATTTTATTTTTGAAATATAGGAATAATAACTACAGCACGATAAAACTCCATGATAACTACTAAAATGTGAATATCATAGGGCTGTGCCGATCCACGCATATTACATTGATCCGATCCGATATTTATATTGATTTATAACCTCCCTTTGAATCAAATGTAAATTAAGAAATCAATATTTTTTTATCTAAAAAATCGAATTATGCCTTTAATTTCAATTTTTTATTATTTCTAAAATTAAGACTATAATTCAAAAAATATAAATATTATTATATATTTAATAATATATCCAATTAGTGTTGTTTAATGGCTCGTATTGAACTTGCTTTTTAAAACGGCTAACTCAATATTTTAGCCAGAAAAATATTTCATAAGCCTAAAGATTTCGACAATATATGTCTAGACCTTTGTTCCTTCTATGAGCAAACTCTTCAGGGCTGCGTAATATTTTTCTGGATGAAATATCGAGTTAGACACTACATTTTATGTTGGTATGAATTATAAAAATTGTAATATTTAATATATAAAATTATAATATATTCTATTTTTTTTAAAAAAATATGAGAAACTCTAGATTTTTGGGCAATAAAATAATAAAATAACGTTAATTATTTAAAAAGATTTAAAATAAATAAAACTTTGGGTGAAACTTATAAAATACTATAAATCTTTTTAAAAAAATTAATAATATTTAGAGGTGTTGTGCATTTGCATTGTTTAAAAAAAAATATTTAGAAAATATTATAATAATGTATTAATAACTATACATGACATAAAATAACATAAAATAACACAAAAAAAGTAAATGATCGGTTTACAGGTATCGGCCCGATCCGATATTTTTATAAAACTCTAAATATTGATGCTGATCCTATTCGATATTTAATATAGGCACTGCCATACATAAAAGTATCGAAATTTGTTTCAAAAAATAATCATTTAAAAGGTTAGTGACCATGGTAATTTTTTAGGAAATATAAAATAATTTTTCCCAAAATGATTTAAATCGTGAATTAGTTCCATATGGCTAAATGCAATAATGGTACTAGATAGGTAGTTATTTTTTTAAAATTAAGAACCTTTATAAGGAACTTAGGGCATTATCGCCATGATAAGCAGCTATGCCAGAGACAATGCACAAAAATATCGTTTAGAATTGTACAATTGCTGATTTTCACTATATTCAGATTAAAAATTGAGAATGTTTATGTTTAAAGACCGGTTTATATAAGGTATTCCTAAGAGATTAGAAAATAAATATCTTTTATATGAAGGGGTAATTAAATGAATTCGTGATCTAAATTATAACTCTTTTTATGTCCACAATATTTTGATAGTTGGTAGTAGAGCTAAAATAATTTAAGTTATTCTTTTTAAAATTTATGAAAGAAGTACCTGTATGATTGAAATGGAGGGTGTAATTAAAAATAGAAAAGGATAGCCACCGAAGGCGGCGAGAATTTTTCTAGGGGCTTAGGCATAGGTTTTTGAGGTGGGTTTGCATCCAGTGAAAACCCTGTCATGTAGAGGCTGCCTAAAACGATCAGAAAAAATATTGAATTTTAATTTCTTAATGCCAAGATAAAAGACTTGATTGTCTAGATAAAAAAAATACTAAATTGTTCAGGTATAAAACTGAAACGTTTAGATTAAAAAAAATTGAATAACTCAGAAAATGGTCTTCGATTTTAAGAAAAAATATCTGTGGAAGGGCAAAGTAAATTCTGAGATTTTTAGTATTTTTTAAAAAAAATTCTGATCAAGTGTTTCTTTAATTCTGAGCGAGATAATATAACCATAAAATATTTCTTATTTTTTAAATTGTGTTAAATGAAAAAAATGTAAAAAAATAATTGCATTTAACAAATCAACTAGTTATAATTATATACATAATGTAAGGTAAAATAACGAAAATGGTATATAAATTATTTTTTTTATATAATTAATCTAAAAGTAACGAAGTTTAATTTAAATCTAGTTGCTTAAATACGATAGTGCGTTACTCTAAGTAAGTAACGGTAGAGCGCTTCTCTTAAAGAAATAGCGAAGAGGTAGCTGTAGAGCGCTACTTTGGAAAGTTTAACCTTTAACCAAAATACTGCCCTTTTAAAAGGTATAAAATGCTATAAGTGTTATAATAATAATTCTAAAAGGAAAATGGTATAAACCATGGATCCGCTGAGAGCAAAATTGTATAGCTTAAAAAAATTCGGGTAGGCAGAGACTCGGGTCGAGTTTAAAAATAATTAAATATATATATCAGAGTTGTTAAAAGATTCTTTTTAAATGGATCTAGATATAGATACATCGTCTGAAATAATATCTAGATACAGATATTTTAATCAAAAAAATATCTAGATACAGATACCACATTTTTATATCTAGATACAGGATCTAGATATTTGTATCTAGATCCTTTAACAACACTGATATATATAACCAGGGTCCGATTTGAAATTAAGACCTCTACGGTGCCTCCGCTATAATTAATACATAATTTCTTTTTCTTTACCTTCTTGAGAAAAACAGAATTGATAGATATTCCTTTTAATAAATTTTGAAAAAATATATTGACTTCTTAAATAGTTTTGAATGAAAATGTTTGCCTTAATGAAGAGTTAATAAAAAATATTATAAATAATACAAAATATTGTTTTTTAGTAAATATATAATTAGTTAATAAAACATTTATTTTAAGCCAACTAATGTATAGTTTTTTTTTGTAATTTTAATAATAATAACAAAAAATAATCATAAATATTTCTTAGAATATAGAAAGAGATGTCACTGAAAGAACGGAGGAATTCAATTTTACAAAGGGAATAATATATTCCTATTTTTGCCTGTGCAAAGTGTAAATATATCGGATCACTTCTCGTTTAAAGTGTTTAGAACAAATTTTTGTGATAAAAAATATTTTTAAAGACGCGATACGATTAGTGAAGGCCCACGGTCCTGTCTTCGGCACAAACCGGGACGAAACACGCGGACCAGGTTACGGTACTCAAATAAAAGACCAGTTCAGCCCGTAGTTTTAAATTAAAAGGTCTCATGGCTGGTTTTTAATTATATTTTTAAAAAAATAAATTTACGTTTTCCCATAATAAATAATACAAATATTCAATTTAAAAATAAAATCGCTATTTTTTTTGACAAACTGAATCATAAAAACAAATAAGGTAGCTCCTATAAAAAAGTAATATATAAAATAAAATATACACATAAAAATAATACTATAAAAATTATATGAATCTTTCTTTCTTTCTTTTTTTCTTTTCTTTCTTTCTATCTTTAAAAAAAAAATGGTAAAAAATGTATTTTTTTCTTATAAAAATGCAATTTATAAAAAGTATGTTAATTGCGTGTTTTTATTTATTGCTTTGAGCAGTAATTTATGCAAAGCCAGATTAAATATTTTGTTGTATAAAAAGGGTGGGGAGGGGGAATTTTGTAATAATATAAGCACTAGATCATTGCAGATAAGTAATCGATCTGACAAAACCGGATAGTTCGACAGCCGGGTTCAGTATCTTATAATACAATTTTGGTTTGAACGAATCAAACTATTTGCATTAGAATAATAAAATTTGGTATTTGTGTTCGATTCAAATTTTTCGTTGATTAAAAAATTAATTTTTTTGTTTTTAACCGTATGCATCAAATTTTTAAACATTAAAATTATTATAATAATCTGGTGACAAAGCAATTAAATTATTAACGAATGCGTATTAATTCAATTTATAAATGCCAGGCCAAATTTTATGGCCGTTGTTTTATTTAATTAACTATAAAATTTCCCCTGTGAAATAATTTACAAAATACAGCCAAAATATTTTAAAATTTTAAAAATAAATTATGCCCGGCTTAAAATTAGGATTCTAGGTTTGGGCCAATAAAAAAAAATTCCTTGGGGAAATTAGTTAGAGGCCCTAGAAAATCATTTTCTCTGCATGTCTCTGAAAAATATAATGCATTTAAATGTTTGGAGAAGTTAACAAAAATAAATGTTTAGAAATTTTGTCAATAGCTAAATATTTCCCTTATAGCATTTATAGAATTAGCCAAATTTTTCCCTAAGTGGCGAACTTTTTGGCTTAGCCTTGTTTATTGATCGATACAATGGGATGCTCGTATTTATAGTAAAATAATATATAATACATCAAATTGTAGGTAAAAGGAATCTCTAAGGTATTTGCAAAATCTTAATTAGTTTTATCATATCATACTGCTCCTTTTTTTCTAGTTACTATTTTTTTCATTTCTAATATGACATTCTTACCGTGTAAATAACAGAAGGCTTCATTTGCATAATACTTCTAAAGATTTTTAGTGTTTTCGTTTTATCATTTTATCTAACATAATAAATTCTGATTTGAGTTTACATCGTAAAACCAGCAATTATCATTTGTGTGACTATGTAATTTTAGATTATTAGCTGAGAGTATTTGACTGCATAATTTAGATAAGCAATAATAGTCAACTGTTAATATATAATTTGAATATTTTTTACTTTGTAATTTATGACCTTGTAAAAATCTTTTCTTTTTTTAAGGACCTTTTAAATTATATTAATTTAGTAAATATTAACATGTAAATACGCTATTATAAAAAATGTATATAAAGACAAGAATTTTGTATATAGAGAAAAATTTAAAATGTTAAATTAAATAAAATAAATATTTTACTCTTTTTGATCACCTGCCTTCCTAGTAAATATCATCAACTCTCTTTTATATATCTAAAGAAATGGTAGATAATATTTTAGAAAATAATATCTCACAATAATTTTCTCGATTACGTATCTACCTCCATATTCTCAGAATTGGAGTGCTCCACTCGACATTTTCAAAATTTTTGAGTTAGAAGTGGATAATTACTAATTTATTCCCAATATAAATATAAATAAAAACTAGATTAAATTAATTTTTGCTAAAGTTATAGCTCTGTCAATGCGCTATTTGCATATAACGATGTATTTTTTGTTTGGCCTATCCTATTATGTTATTTAATCACCTGTTGTCTTCCCTCCTATTTTAATTTTTTTTTTCTATATTGAATCGTAAGATATTTTCATTCCATATCTCTATTCCAAATTAAATGTCAAGGTAAATTTTTTATTATATACAATAATAAATTTAACAATTTTTTTTAAATTATGCTTATAATTTAAGTAAATTATTATGAATTACTTGCTCATATAAAAATTAAAAATACAATCTTTATAATGAAATTTAACAATTTTTTAATAATTTACTTTCATAATTTAAATATATTATTAAGCATTACTTGCTCATATAAAAATTGAAAATACAATCTTTATAATGAAATTTAACAAATTTTTAAATTATGCTTATAATTTAAGTAAATTATTATGCATTACTTGCTCATATAAAAATTGAAAATTAAATTATAATAAAATTTAACAATTTTTTAATAATTAACTTGCTCATAATTTAAATAAATTATTAAGCATTATTTGCTCATATAAAAAGTAAAAATACAATCTTTATAATAAAATCAAACAATTTTTTAATAATTTACTTTCATAATTTAAATAAATTTTTAAGCATTACTTGCTCATGTTATAATTAAAAATACAATCTTTACAATGAAATTTAACAATTTTTTAATAATTTACTTTCATAATTTAATTAAATTATTAAGCATTACTTGCTCATATAAAAATTGAAAATACAATCTTTATAATGAAATTTAACAATTTTTTAATAATTTACTTTCATAATTTAAATAATTTTTTAAGCATTACTTGCTCATATATAAAAATTGAAAATACAATCTTTATAAAGAAATTTAACAATTTTTTTAATAATTTACTTTCATAATTTAAATAAATTATTAAGCATTACTTGCTCATAAAAATTGAAAATTTTAATATTTATAATGAAATTTAACAATTTTTTAATATTTCTAGAAGCAAAGCAAATGAAAGAAAAAGACTAAGGGTATGTGGTGAGGCATATATCTCTATCAAAGTGATTTGAAAAGAGCAAGGATGGTTCAGAATGATCATTCTAATAAATGTATATTTCAATGTCATCTAAAAGTAAATTCAGATCAGAGAAAAATTATTCATGAAGTTTTTTGGAGCTTAACTGATGAAGCTAAGCGATATTTCTATAGCGAATTTATTGTTAGGTCTCCATGTAAAAGAAGAGTAAAAGATTCTTTAAATTATAAAAACTATTTATACTATATTTTTGAAGTGGAGAATGAAAGTTAGAGTTTGCAGACAATTTTTTTTACAAACATTTGATATAAGTAATAAACGAATTAGATATTTTTTTAAACATTTATACCAAAATACTGGAACTTATTTGGCTCCTAGAAAAGGTAAAAATACCAAAAAAGTTATTCCTGATCAGGATAAAGATTTTATCATTGATCACATAAATACCATTCCAAAGGTGCATTCTCATTATAGGCGAAAAGATTCTTCAAAGGAATACTTTGAGGGAAGTCTCAATTATAAAATACTTTATCATATATGTTATAAAAAAATGTGAGGAATTATCAAGAATTCCTGTTAAAGCTCATTATTACACAACAATATTTAAAAATAATTTTAATATTGGATTTTCTTAACCAGTTAAAGATAGATGTGATAAATGTGAACGATATTTAATTAATAAAGAAAATATGAATGAACATGATATTTTTAATTACAATAAACATCATGAAAATTATGTTGAAACTAGTTGAAAAATATATGGATAGAATTATAGGTAGGTCAAAAAAAATTTTAGTCATATCATTTGACCTTCTAAATGTTATAACATTACCAAAATCTGAGGTTGGATCTTCATATTATAAAAGAAAATTGTCTGTTTATAATGAAACTGCATATTGTAGTCAAGACAAATCTGGGTATTGTGCTATTTAGTATCAAGGTCAAAATGGAAGAACTGGTAATGATATTGCTTGCAGTGTGATAACATTAGTAAATGTGATATTTAAAAAATTTCCAACTATCCCTCATCTAATCTATGGGCTGATTCTTGTGTGGCCCAAAATAAAGATTCCATTATAATTTATGCTTTAAAACATTATTTAGCTAATAATACGACAAGTCAAATCAAAACAATTCAAATCAAATATGGTGCTCCTGGCCATTCGATTTTACAAGAGGTCGATTCAATACATAGTCAAATTGAAAGATGTTTAAGAAAACATGAAATCCATAGCCCTCTAACTCTTTATAGATTAATAAGAGTTGCAAATCGCAAAAACCCATTTGAGGTGATTGAAATGACCCCAAATAATTATTTCGATTTCCATTCTTCATCAAAAAAATTCAAATTTAACCATATACCATTCACTAAATTAAAGTCAATAAAAATCTCAAAAACTGAACCTTTTTCTTTGCAATATAGATTATCATTTAAATCCAATAATGTGATTAAAGTATCAATTTTACAGGATTCGAAAACACGTAGATCAAATTTTGACCAAGAATTAGTTACAATAAATTTTTCAAATATTAAATTGATCCCGAGAACGAATGGTAAAATTAACGATGAGACTAAAAAAGATATTAGAACAATGTTAGAGTTTATGCCCAGAGCTGATAGAGAACATATGGAAAAAATTATTAATTAAATATTAATTTTATTCTATATTCATT